CTATGTGCCTGGCATCAATAAGACAAGCATATTGATGGAAACCACATCATGAAAGAGACACAGGACAAGTTCTTCAAGTGAGTAGCTTAGCACAGAAATGCTTGAACTATGAAAATACTTTGCCATGTGTGATTCAAATATCCTGTAGGCTTTCAGCCTTCCAAAGGAAGATAAGTGATTTCTCTAAGGCACTATAATACAAATCTTATTCTACAGCACAATTGAATGTGCTGTGTCTGCTAGGCCTTTTTCTTTAATAGATGAAGGCCCCATCTCCCTTCTCCTCACCTGCAGAACACAATGGCCTTTATAACTGGCCTCCCCGCTCTTTTCATGCTCTGTTGAAGCCCATTCTCTATATAACATACACAGTGAATTACTTAAACATATATCAGATCATATCACTCTTTTTCTTAAAACTCTTCAATACAATTTTCCATTGTATGCTAGGGAAAAAATATTCTCAGGCCCCTGCCTATAGCTGTAAACTCTTCTCTAGTCCCTCTCACTGCACCGAATCTGCCTCAGGCACACTGACCTCTTTTTGGTGTCCATACGCACTAACCTCTTTTCCACCCCTGGGCCTTTGCACCTGCTGTCCTCCTTCTCCAACCCTGGACCTCTCTACGTAGAAGAAATCTGCCACCCCATTCCCTAATTCTTTATTTCAGCACATTGTTTTATAGTAAAGATATTTAGTTTGCTTTATTTTAAATATGAAATAGATATATTTTGACATAGGCCTCTAATATGCTGCCAGGGAACCTTGGCTAAGGGCTGGATAGTCATTGCTTACAAATCTGGTACTATCCCCAGAAAGAGTAGAACCTAGAGACACTTTTGCCTTTTGCCTAAAAAGAAAATATAAGAAAAATGGCAGTGAAACTTTCTAAGTCCTCAAACTTGTGCAAGTTGTTGAATATTTGGAAGACAATGTGCAATTTGAATAATAAGATGATACATCAATATTAAGCTCATAATTAAGTACATAATGTACTAAATAAGATACATTATGTTCTCATAGAGATAAAAATTGAAAACACAAATGGAAGAAAAACCTAATTGAGAAAATCATATTCATTAACTGAGGTTTTCAACAGATTAGGAAACAACTGCCATGATTCCTTTCTAAAAGGTTAACAAACTTGTGCAGCTTGAGAGCTACAGGAGATCTGGAAGTGGCTTCCCGTTCATTGCCTCCTGGAGAATCCGGTCTCGCGCAGCAAACAAATCCCTTTCCACCGTGGCCCCATCCATCTCTCAAACCACGTTTCTTCCATATCACCATCCTCACATCATTATGGAGCTATCCACAGATGTCTATTTTACAACTCCATTTTGTGCTCTGAATTACTTTCCCCAATTTATACTCCCACCAATCTTCAAAACCCCATTAAGGGCCACCTCTTGCCTTGTGTAGCCCTTCCCAACCCCTCTAGACAGTCGTCACGCACTCCTTGGTTCTGGCTGCACCTGCATTTTCAGAGCATTTAGTATTTACGTGGTAGCCTGTCGTGATTATAATTTTGTTTATATATTTCCCCCAACAGATGAGCAGTTTTGCATAACCAGGATTATGAAAGAATTTGATTTGACTCTTTTTATTAAGAAAAAAACTCGGCGAACATTTTTACTAAAATAAACTGTGAACCTTAATCTAGAACAGAAGGGAGACAAATTTCAAGGGTTTTATACTCTTATTTTAGAAGTGCCTTCTAAGAGAGGAAAACAAAAGCAGATTAGGTTTATTGAAACTTTCTAGCTAGCTAGGAATGAGTATTAATAAAAGAGTGAGTTTTTAAAATTTTATTGATGATGTTTCCCCCATATTATTGAAGTAGCCCTCATCAATATATATGAAGATCAAGGGCATTTATTCTTACCTTGGAAGTACCACACTGAGGATGAAAATAAACAACCAAGCTGAGGACTGATGAGAGGACAGAAAGCAAAGCAGAAGGAGCATGGATTAGGAGCATGGAGCTGATTTTTAGTTCCCCATCAGCCACTTGTAAACAATGTCCCTTTGTCTGCTCTGCACAGATATACACACAATCACATGCATGCACTCATAAACACACACATGCTACTCAACTACGAAATGATGGATCTTGTGACAGTCAAATTTTTTTCCACTTTTAACATTTTTCAAGATGCTCTATTATTCTTCACTCAGGTATTTAATTCCTTAAAAGTTGTCCTATAATACATCATTCCAGGGCTTATTTAACGTGTTTAAATTTTTTTTGTTTTAAATAGAGTTATGATTTTGATATATGAAGTTGAGAATAGCCAATTCTACTCACAGTGCCTGGTCCTGGACCTGTTGCTGCATGGCTATAGATACCTTCATTGACTCACTCACTCACTCATTCAAAAACATGCTATTTGCAGTTACAATGTGCCAGGCATCTACCCTCGCTTAAAGAATCCACTTTAAAGTAATGAATGAGTCTGTTCATTGGACAATATGGGATGTTTTAAAATTACTAAGTGTCCTCTGATACAGAAATCTGATTTTGTGTGCATGAGTTTACACATTAGTGTAAAATATAAAAATGAAAAAGCACAATGTTAAAATTCCCAGTGCTTGAATTCCTGTGAAAAATAATAAAGATAATAATGCAAAGTTATTTACCCCCAATTTTAACTGCTTTATTAATTATCAATCTTTAACAAATAATATGTAGAAACAAAAATTCAAAAACCTTTTCTGAGGGGATGGTGATGGTCTATCTACCTTTGGTTTGTAAAAGAATTAGTACTTTATTATCACTACAACTCTATTTTGTAAATTTGAGTTATTTTAAGTCTACAAATACTACTATTAATAACATACTAATATAAAAATACTATTTATCTTAGAAATATTATGAATTAAGGTAATTTTCATTTTGAGGCAGATTTTCATTTAAATTAATCAGAAATTTTTGCTTTTTCTTATTTATATTTCTACTTTTTATCAAAATAACCGCATTGTACTGAATACTATTTGTGAGAAATTACGCAGAGGAATTTAGCCCAGGCAATATAGGAATATTCTTTTTGGACAGTTTGGGGCTGAGTTCCTCAAACTGGGGTTCGTGTACATATTCTCTGACATCTGCAAGTTCTCAAATTTGAGAAACACTGGCCTCAGGCTCGACCCACTGTGTCTGACCTTCATTACTAGAAGACACTCCGAACTCACCAAAGAGTCACATTTCTTTGGTCTGCTTTCACTTCTCTACTCACTTAGCTCCTGAATCTCGTGCGCTCCCCTAATGGCCTGTTTAGGTCCTGGATCATGCCTAATTAATCACTTAATTTGTACCCATTCTGGTTAACAACCTATCCCAGAAGAGTCCATAGGATCAAACATTGAATCTTATTCATATTTCTATCAAATTCAATGTGTTCCTCCGTATCAAAGTCCCCACATTGGATCCCCCAACTTCCACTTTTTTTTCACATTAAGCTGATCCCTTTCTCTGCGTTTGGTAAAAACAGTTTTATGTTCAACATAATACCTTACTTTGAATGTTATATAGTACTACATGGTGCAATGAGAAAAGAACCATAGAGGATAAGAGACAGAAAACCCACTACTTTGCCTCTGATCTTTACATGATTATATGATCTTGGTCATGTCACTTCATATCTCTAAGTCACAATTTCTTCATCGGTAATAATAGTCTCCATATTCCCCATTGGTTTGCAATAACTAATGAAATAGATATGGAAATGTACTATAACTGTCACGATACCAATATGGGGCATTCTTATTAATAATTTACTTATAAGTTCTTGGGCTTAAACCGTATGAACTTGGGCTTACCTAGAGGCAAATTATGGCACCACTGTCTGTTTAACTTTGGGTAATCTGTATTATACCTAAACCTTGGTTTCTTCATGCATAAATAGGGTTAATAATATCTATCTGGTCATATTATTTTAAGTATTTCATAAAATAATTTATGTAAGTTCCTAGTCTGATGTCTGGCATAGTAAATGCTCAAAAAGTAGTAGCAATTTCGAAAAATGACTGGGGTTTCTAGTATGTACTTTCGTTGCTATTTTTATTTAATTCAATGAGAGGAATGAGAACCTTGCGAAATTATAATGCCTCAGGAATTTAAATAGTAAAGCAGAACCCTGATCCAAATTCCTAATGAAGTTCTTGAACTTGAACACAAGAGGAAATAGCCTCAGGAACATACTGTTATGGTTGTTTATATAAACTAATCTGAAATGTTTCTTCTCTCATTTATTTATCTTACAAGTAGATGAAGGAAAAACACAGAGGTGATGCTTCAGTTCGCATCTCCTTTCATCAATTGATAAGCAATCATCCCAGCTGGGAGAGCTACTGACTGCAGTTACAAAAATGCAGGTGGAGATTTTTCTTCTTTCTCATTGCAGTCTTGAGACTTGTGGCTGAGAAAGTAAGTAAATAAGCAAATAAAGGACCACCAAGGAACTACACAGAGACAGAGAGACTATTCTCGGAGGAGTATATTATGTACGCTGGCTGAATGCATCAATGTTGTTCAGTTTAGCACCACATCCATATTTTATGTGAGTTAAGGTGGAGGGAAGCCTCAGAGAATTGACACGGAAGATGTCTCAGAAATTACTGAAAGTCGTGCTTATAGTTTTCCTTCAAATCTATGCTTTCAACTTATTCCTGAGAGGGGGAAAAGATGTTTTGGCTACAATATATTTTCTAGCAGAGGTGCATTAAAATTTTCTCATGAAGTCAGTTTGCTAGAGGGACTCATTCTGTTCTAGCTTAGTAAAGATTAAAATTAATATTGGACAAGTATAATTCGCCTCTTGGCCTCAATTAGCAAGTTCATTGTCTCTGACTCCAAGCAAACAATGGGAAAAGTGTGAAAGATGCCTGTGAACGGAAGGAGACCGGGGATTTGGTTTGACCTGAGTCTCCATCGGTTTCTAGCAAATCACTTTATTTCTTGGGTCTCTTGGGACCACAATGCTTTTCGTTTTCTCCTACTCACCAAGGGCTTGGTTTCATCTTCATCCTTGAAATAATAGAGCTGATCCCCCTTGAGCACAAACCAGCGAGTATGCCAAGTCTTGACAAAGCCTCCTTGCTTCCTCAGCCACCCACACTTGATGGCGTTCTGCCTCCCTTGGCTCTGTGGGGGGTTCTCCGTGGAGTCATTGTTCTCCTCCATTATCGAACTGATGGACTTTCCTAGTTAGCAAACAGAAAGAAAGGGAAATAATAAGGTGCTCTGTTATATTCAATTCCCTCTTAACCCACCCTTATCTTTTAAAATGGAAAAAAAAAACGTGGGAGGAGGGTGAAAAATGTTTATCAACTCACTGGCCAAATTTCTAGATGCAAACCACAGACCTGCCCCCGGGGGAAACCTGGAGAGAGCTTCTTGTGCCTTCCTGCCTTCTAACATGAGCTCAGCAGCTGGGTAATAATAATTCTTTTTTTCCTAAGTTGAACTAAAGAATGGGAAGGTGCTAGTGGTAATGTGTTAAGAAGGGATTTTTAAAACTAACTAAAACAACCAACAAAAACATAATTCCCAAGATGCCTCCCTCTGTGTCTGCTGTGCACCGACTGGGGTCTGCCCGGGCAGGCCTTTGGTTACCTGAACAAGCACCAGCCCGACGCATGTTCTAGTTTAAAGGAACTCTTTTTAAAACCTCAGTGGAAGACGTTTGTCTTACGTATGTGAATAGTTCTCAAGATGTTTCTACCCTCCTTCCCCCAGAACATCCCCTTGAGAGCTTCTTTGGTTGGTCAGGATTTAGTACAACTGAAAAAGTTTAAGAAAAAACCAAGAACCTGCTTGGCCAGTCAAGTTTCCTTTTCCCTGCATTCACCCTCAAACTCCAGGAGGGAGTGGTGTGTCCCATTCTAAGACATGATGAAAAATATTTTCGGTTTATGTGTGCAGGAGTGCAAGGCCGTGCACCGTATGCATAGCAAGTAAACGAGTTCATCTTACAGAAAATATTGATCAACAGGTGAGATGCTAAAACTGCCCCAGTAAGAACAGAGGAGTTGGACATTCTGGGAGACCCAGGGATACGCCGTTCAAAATTAAAAGAGATTTTCCTATCCTAAAAGCTTCTTCCAAATTCTTGCTAATGTTTATTTCTAAGCATTTATTCAAGAAGTGAGAAGCCCACTCCCACCCTTGTGTCTCTGATGAGAATATAAACATATAGATTTAACTAAAAAAAAATATCAAATATCCCTGTTCAGGCATATTCATGCCCAGAGCCCATGTTTTATTATTTCTGATTGATTTCAGAAGACAAGCTGTCTTTCTGTCTGGTCTTTATTTTAACCACTAATTTTTCAATCAATTTGCAGGTACATAATCCAGTTTACAAAATCCATGAAGTTTCAGTGGTTAGCCCTTTATGTTTCCTCCTGAAAGGTCAAACCTTTCACTATTGGGCCTCGAGTTCTTTGAATTTAGTCCTGCCATTCCAGTTGCAGAGGCGAAGCAGAACTTTGGCTCTAATTACCTCTTATTTTCATATCTTCAACCATCTTCTCTGTAGAATTACCTCTTTTGTTGGCATGCATGCCAATCTATCTGCACCCTTGCTTTAATCTTCGTCTCTTTAAACTACTTTTAAGCTTCCAGTAATTCACTTGACTATTATCTATTTCCTTAAATATACACTTTTTTGCCTTTTTTATACAGGAATGCTTTTCTAATTATGAGGCCCCTATCTCTACAAAATGTCTTGAAACTTCCTTTGCCCCGTAGGGCATTCCCACGGCAATAACCGCTTATAACCGATTACTGCAGGAAACATTCTCCCTCGTGTGTGTGTGTGTGTGTGTGTGTGTGTGTGTGTGTGTGTGTGTGTGTGTATGCACAGATTGGATCATGCCCAACGCTTCAGGTTTGTTACGCCCTTAGGGCAAGAACTTTCATCTCTTTTCTTTCACAGTAGCTGACCTATGATAAAGAGCCAAGCATACCACACTCTAAATGAACAATAAGTGCTGCAATATAATTTAGATAAATATGCTTATTTAGACCACCCTAAATTATCTTTTTTGTCTCCCGGTATTTAAATTGTTCAAATCTATGCAACTTGCTATTTCATTATTGCTATTTATTCTTGGAACAAACATCTTAACTTATAAATAAGACTTTAAAACAAACATGCAACACGCGCACACACACACACACAAATCTAGAATGCACTGCACAACAAATTCTTTTAGGCCCTTCTTTTTTTTCTTTCCTCTCAAATTTATGCTTTCTATTAAGTTATTAAGTTTGAAAAATTCTCTCTAAAATGCTTCAAGGTAATTAGTAAGCTACCATCGATAATATAAAAAATATAAGTGGCAAATTCCCCTTTTGTCTACCATTGATGTTTTAGAGAAAAATATGTGTGTGTCAGAATGTGGTTTACTATTCTTCTTGCATATGTTGTTTATAAGTCTGGCTGAAGCCAGTGACAGTGTTGCCACTGAACTCATAGCTCTAATCTCTACATTTTTATAACTTCAGCATGCATCAAAAAGTGCTTTAATAATACTAATTGTAACAATTCATTAAAACAGAAATGAAGACAGATTTATCATATACCTAAGGGAAAATAATGTCAAAACTATTGTTGGATGAGTAAAATTAGGATTTAATAAAATAACCATGATTTTTGTAGAGAAGTCTTGAAAATTCTGGAGAAATTAAATGGTTCAAATTTTACCCTTTATCTTTAAAATGAGGATGTTTGCCTGGATCATTTCAAATTATGGTCCCTGATAGCACTCTAAAATCTATCATCTCTGTAATTCCATCAATGTATGGACTTCAAATATCCTTAATACTCAGTACAAAGCCTGGCATATGGTGAAACTCAATCAATGTTTGATGAATTAATCAATTTTGCAATAGGTTTCATGCTAAGTGTCTAAAAGTGAACATGATCTCCCTCTAAAACCTGATCCTTCCCCAAACCTGATCTTAGTAAATGACACCATGATACACCCAGCTGCAAAAAAAATAGGAAAGTGATCATTTGATTCCTGACTCTCCTGCACCCTGAATATCCAAACAATCCAGAAGATAATACCTCGAAAATGTATTTCAAATCTGTCCACTTGGCTTCATCTCCATTGCTACCCTATGGTCTAGGCCACCATTATCTTTTGAGGGGATGATTTTAATTCTTCCAACTGGTCTCACTGCTTCCATTTTTAACCACCAACACAAACACACGGGCACACGCTCATACATACTTTATTCTCCAAAAAGCAGCCAAAGTGAGCTTTTAAAAATTCAAATCAGGTAATGACTCTCTACACTTCAAAATTTTTGTCTGGCTTCTCATTGTACTTATTTCACAATTCTAACCTAATCACATCCCACCTCCTCAGCCTGCCCCTCGCCACACACACACACACACACACACACACACACACACACACACACACACACACACACACACACACATGCTTAACCACACCAGTCTCCTTTCAGCTCTGGAAATATCTAAGCTCCTTTATGCCTGAGTCTTGCTACTTGCTGATCTCTGTCTAGAACATTCTGCCTCAGGCTCTTTTCGTGGTCAACCCATTTTCATCTAAGTTTCAGCTTAAAATCTCCTCCAAGTCTTCACTAATCAGCCTGTGAATTCATTCACCTCTTGTTATTCTACCACCCCACCGGGAAACCTTCATGGGGTCGAGGACATTATTTTCCTTACTACAGCTCCTTTAAGAGTGTTTACTTGGCCCTCAGTCAACATTTCTTGAACCAACAAATAAAGCTATGTAACAATCACAATAGAATTCCTACAAAGAATATTTTGAAGGGTTATTTTTAATTGCATTTATTGCCTTAAAGAAGATTTGTGTGCTTTAAAGAATTTGATTTTTTTCCCTTTGACAGAGGAGAATTCAATCAGCATGAAAATTGTTCTTAAACACAATGTCAAAAATGATCACACTTGAATGAACCTGAAACTGCTCTTTATGGAAAAAACATATTCAAAATTTACACTTTTTAGCCTTGGCAGGAAATACACATAACCAATTGTGGTTTAGCACTAGGAAAAGTACAGTTATTCACTCAAAATTCTCAGAGAATAATCTCGCTGAATCTCCACTGGGAAAATACTTTCACTGAAGTCAGACCGTGGTAGCTGTGTGGGAAGTGAGATGACAAAATACAGCTATCAACTTCATTAGCAAATCAACATAACAACAATGTAAATAAACAGTTACTCCAAACTAAAACAAGAACAGAATTGAAAATTTAACTTGTGTCTTCCCATCAATCTTGGGAAGAAGCCTTACTGATGGCTACTGTACCATGCCATAACCAGACAGTCCCCACCACCTAACGGGCTCACAGTTTTGAATTGTTTTCCAGAGGTGAAAACTGATTTCTACATCTACTCCTATGGTTCTCTTTTGCAACAGGATGGGCTAAGAACACAACAGTATGACATGGTACAATCAGAGATGAACTTTATGCTCCTAAAAGAATTTTCTAAAAGTCAAAGAGCACACGCATAAAAATAATGATATATATTAATAGAATGCCATACACCATAGAGTTGCAATACATTTGAAACTTCCTTACTATACACGTTCAGCAAACATGAGAGAATGGGATAGATGGAGGGAGCTAGAACAAAAGAGAAGGGGGAGGGAGGACAACTTAAACAGCACAGGCAGGTTTTCATTCAAGTAGGGAGAAAAGTATTTGAATATTTACTTAGACGTGTTCCTCATCACCACATCACTTACCTGAAGGATAATGAAAAAAGAAAACCATTGGAATTCCCAACGCTGATAACCTGAATAGCAACAAAAATGAAATCAAAACAAATACTTTACCATTGATTGTGATTAGGAAAGAATTGACAGATACATAGCAATTGTACTGCTGCCTGTCGAGCTGAAGGCAGACATTATTAATTAATCACCTGGTTTTGCTCCAGATGCCTCTCAATCCAGCACTCTGGGCAGGTACAACCAATCGATCATATATGGAAAGGAGAGGAAGACTCTTTGTTACCTCAATTCTATGAACAGACCAAGAACTGAAGATATTTCTCAAATATCAAATAGAAACTCAGGTGCTCTCCCAAAAGGAATGCCATTTGAAATGGGAAAAGTAGAGAAAATCAACTTCTTTTAATGGAAGGAATGAATAGTTTTATGAAAACCTGAAGATGGCAACTATCATCACG